GCTTGGGGAGGCCAGTTTTCACCTGTCCTCCTGGCATAATAATAATGTGCCCTGATTCACTCTCAAGTGTCCCAATTTGGTGATATATCATATGGTCAGCCTCGTTATTGGAAAGAAGAAAGGGTTCACCCTAGACCTTCTGCCCTTTCGTGATGGGTTTCCCACTTTTCTCCTACAAGCTCAAAGCTTGTTTTTCTTGCTTCTGAGATATTTTTCTTAATATTCTCTCTGCATTGCCCCCAACCCTCAGAAATACATAAGAATTTTGTTTGCCCATTTCACTGCAGAACTGGCCTCCTGGAGGGTTGCCATGGTGATTGAATGATGTCACTGTCCTGGAAACAGTTGCCTAGGAGATGAGTGATGTCACTTCCAGGAGATGATTGCCATAGTAACCATCTCAGTGGAACTAGGAGGTGGCCAGGAAAGTGAGGGGGGGTGGAAGGCGGATGCAGAAGGGACAGATGTGAGGGGCGGAAGGAAAAGGGGGGGAGTGCAGGAAAAAGGCCAGGAGGGGGATGGGGACCATCCCAAAACAGTTGAAAATAACACAGAATCACAGAATCTCAGAAATGGAGGAGGACTAGAGACCACCAAAAACACCCACCTCCTTTTTAGAGGCTGTGAGGGACCAGGACTTGTTCAGGTCATACCACCAGTTTACAAGTGATGTTAGAACCAAGCCCGAGGCCTCATGACCCTCAGTTTTTCATAGGGCTCACCAGTAGTACATTTGGGTGGAGAAATAAAGGATTCCTTTTGGTCATTTATTTTCGAAAATCCTGGCCTCTTCAATTATTCTTGAATTCAACAAATTCTTATTGTGAACTATATGCTAGGCTCTGGAGAAGAACCTAAGTGACATTTTCATAGTTACTTTATTATTTTATTATAGTCCCCCACGGAGTGTTAGCCCCATTGGGACAGTTAACTCACCAAGGTATCCCCAGGCACCTTGCCCAGTGTCTACCATATAGTAGGAGCTCAACATGTTTGTTGAATGAGTGAAGACGAAGTGGTAAATGCCACTGTGTGGTACAGACCTGCAGTATGGGAGCCCAGAGAAGGGCTCATGGTAGCCGGCAGAGAGAAGGTAGGATTTCATAGATAGGATTTGAATAGTCCAGGAGAAGAAAGCCATTCCAGAGGGGAGAATAATGGCTTAAACCAAAGTGGGAGAGCAGGTTGAACAAGTTGGGTCCAGCTGAGGAGAGTTCTCAACCGGTGGTGCTTGGGTCCACCTCGAGTCATACCGTAACTGTAGCACAGCATGACTGGTAGGAGAGCCAAGCATTAGGAGGAAAATAACATTAAGGTCCGTGTCCTGGATATGCCTGGGGGTAGGAGTGGGGCAGTAAAAAGGACTGATAGGGCTGAAGGGGCAAATGTGAAAGAGAAGGTAACGGAGAAAAGACCAGCTGGTGAGGAAGGAAGCGGTCCCATCAAGGAAGACCTGCAGCATCAGGCTTCCAGCCTCTGCCTGCAGGCAACAGATTCGTGAAAAGAACAAGGACCCTGGAGCCCTGCACAAGACATGCTCGGCCACTTCCCAGCTGTGTGACCATATGAAAGTCACGTTTCCTCTTGGAGCCTCTTGATTGGAGCTACAACCTTCTTCACGGATTGTCAGTTTTAAATTTTAAACTGTATGTAACGCCCCACTTAGCCCCACAAAAGGCAGTCAGCAATTGTTATTCCCTCCCCCACTTCCTGGTACAGTCCCTGCCCTCCAGAATGGCATGGGAATTGTACTTTGGGAAAATGAAGTTGACAGTGGATTCCTTCATTCTTTAGCTCGCCCAACCTTTTCAAGACCTTGTTTTGCTAGGCACCATAGGGGCCTGTGGTCCAGTTGAGACGTGCACAGTAACTTACCAATAACACCACAAAGGCTGACCCAAAGCCACCCAGAAGGAGGCCTCCAGCCAGATCAGAGGTTTCATAAGAGACAGCATTTCATTAGGCCTTGAAGGATTTTATTTAGGTAGGATATCCTAGACTGGAGAAGAAAAGGATAAAGGCCAGAGAGGCAGAGGGGCTAGCTATTGTTATAACTTTTCTAGGACTCCTTCTCTCCAGGTGGGGATCAAAAAACACATGGTGTAGTGGAAAGGGCCTTGAAGTGGGAGCGTCCCAGTTTTGATCTCAGCATTTCCTCTTACTAGCTCTGTACCTAATACCACTGGATACCTCCTGGTATCCTCACCTGTTAAAAAGGTCATAGAGTAGCTGTAAAGATTCACACTATGCACCTCAAGTGCCCAGACATGATAGGTATTTGAAACGGTTGTTTTCATCAGCCTAATGACTGGATTTTAGAATGGAAGATGATCTGCTGTGAATCAGTATATGTGCCTGACTGATAGCTGGAGCATCTCCTGAGAGCTAAAGACCCTCTCAGTCTCTGAATGGCAGTCGGCCTGTCAGGGTGTATGAAGGAGGGTGTGAGGGTCCAGTCAGAACACAGCCTGGTTTATTTTACAGAACTAAGAGGAATCCTGGGCTCCCCCACCCCAAGTGATTTAAGATAACCAACTATTTACCCAACAATAATAGCTTCATTATCAAGAATCCTAACAGCCCTTTCTTCCGACTCAAGCAAATGGATTTTTAAAGCAGGGTTTGAGGATTTACTGAAAATCTGAAGCAATAACACCAATGAATTGAAACATCCCTTCCCAAGTAGAATTTCTTCAACTCTAAGTGAAAACATTTAATGCACTGAAAGTGTCCCCAGAATGGAACGTCACATCCATTTTTTTCCCCCCCCATATCAATCCCAAGAGCGTTGCAGTGAAAAGAAACATGAACAAGGATTTAGGGGATTTGAATGCTAGTCTAGGTTCTGTCGCTGACTTTGCAGTGACTCTGGAAAAGTCATTTAATTTCTCTGCACTTGTTTCCCCTGCAGTTAACAGAGATAACCCCATATTACTCCATAAATTTATCTTGACAAGTTTTAAAACATGCAGAACTGGAAGGAGATCATGCAGTAGAGAAGCTTCCCAGTGTTAGACCACATGTAATTTATAGCTCCCTCTTAGGTCCTCTCAGAGAACCCCGTTTATCAGTATGGGGCTAATCATGTGTCCATACTTCCCCACACTCCATTCCCAGACCAGAGGATGCCTTACACACTTTGATGTGAATAAGTTTATATTCCAAATCCTACACTTACAAAATGAGGGACCTGAGCCTCAAAGGTTATGTGGCTTGTCACGGCTGCCCGGCACTTTGGCAGCATGGCACTGCTATGCCCATGAGGGCAGTCAGAACTCTGAATTATTGGGTTGTCCGAGAAGTCATGACACATTTTTGCAACGAAAAACATAGAAAAAAATACATCATGACTTTTCCGACAACCTAATAGAAGTCCTGGATGGGGGCCTTCCTGTGGCTTTCCAGCTGTGTGAATTCCAGAGGTCCACAACCTCTGCTCCTCAGCTTCCGTATCTTTACAATGGGGGCAAACCTTTCACACAAGATGGCTGTGAAATGAAAATGTGCTTTTTCTGAAGTCCTTCCTCTGAAGAGCATTTCAAATTAAGTACGGTTTTAATGTCTATATGTTTATCAAAGCCAAGTGTCAGCCACAGAAAGCTTGTAACTTTAAAATACCTGACCTACTGGAAGTGTAACTCAGTAACCATTTTAGCTAGTAATCAGGTCAACTTGAAACAGGCTTCCTAAGGCGTATGAACACGTGGGTCATACTTCTACTTCAGAATGAGAAAATAGGTTAAACTTCTATGCTTGGAAGTTCTGTGCTCTATTACAATATAAGCTCAAGGGCAGAAACTGGGTCATGGCCATTCTCATCAGCCTAGTGTCCAGCTTTAGTCAAGAACAAGGTTTTTAAGACCTTTGTGTAACTGAACCAATCCACTTAAAAAAGCACATTCAGTCCTTCCTGGAGGTCGTATCATCTGAGGAAGAGTCCAACTGGTGATGCTGAGCCTCAAGAGAAGCCTTTGGGGTGCAGGCAGACACGGAGTGCGCCTTTTTCCTTTTTAACCTTAGGTATAAGTTTGTTTTTCTATTTTAAAGAATACTCAAAACTTTCTTAATAATAACCAGTCAAGATTATTTCAGGAATACAGGTTGTGCCGTAACATTTTATTACATCTAATACAGAAAGAATATTAAGAAAACTTGAGGGCTGGCCGAGTGGCGCGATGGTTAAGAACTGGCTTGGGACGCCAGAGGGCCCCGGTTCGGATCCCACATATGAGGGCTAGTGACACTGCCCTCCACAGCTAAGATGCTGAACAACAGCTCAACCTGGCGCTGGGCTGCCATGAGTTGCCGGGTGTAGGCTGCAGCCCTTGTTGGCAGTAGGTTGCCATGGGCTACTGTATGTAGCCAGCAGCCAGCGTGAGCGGCCAGCAGCCGCCATGAGCGGCCGTCCAGAAGCCAGCGACTGATCTGCCTTGCCTGGGAAGAGCACAATGATGGTGCCAACTTGTGAAGCAACATCCTCCACAACTAGACTGAAGAACAAAACGACAGCAACTTGTCTGTTCCCTTTCCCCCAATTCCCCAGCGCTGTTCCCATCCCCCAATTCCCCAATAAAAATCTTAAAAAAAAAAAAAAGAAATCTTGAGGATATGTATAAGCTCAGTCTCTACCCTTGAGTGTTACATATCAACCTACATTCTGGCCAGTTGGGTCTAGCAACAGCCTCTCCTCCCAAGTTAAACACAGAACTGACCTTTCACAGACGTGCTGTACTAAAGACAGCATTTTGGTCTGCTCGGCTCCTGGATAAGCACGTTATCAGAAGAGTGAATAAGACAGGCTATGTTGGCTAGGTTCACAGAAAGCGATTTCAATTTCATGGCTCTTAAATGTTGCAAAATATGTAATGGGATCAGGGGGCAAGAAAGCTTACTGTACTAAAAATGCTTCAGTGTTTGAGAGACTCAAACCAAGATTCCAAATGGTGAGCTGTTATATATACAACTACTTTGGGGGGGAATGAAGACCATACACATAGAAATAATATCCCCAAAGCAGCATTTATTTACCCATTGAATTCCAAAACATTTAATTTAGAAGTCGGGCATTTCATAATCACCCATCTTAATTGACATGGGCTGACACACATGGTGCTGTCAGGATACACAAGGACAATAGCCAAAGAGTTACAAAAAATAAATCCATGATTCTAAACAATCGCAACAACAACAACAACAAAAAGTTACAGGTATCAAAACGTTAGATGCATTGCACTGAAAAGAAGGTTTGTGCACATCATTAATTTAAAGAGGCAAAACAAGGCGCTACTGAAACCTCACTTTAAACAGTTTATTATAAAGCTGATGGAAAGGAGCAAGTGGTCTCTTTGTATCAGCTTCCCTTAACAGTTTTCCATTAGCTGAAGAAAGAGGTGGGAGGGGTGAATTCATTTTTGCATGCACAGATGTACTGCTTAACAAAACATTATCAGCTTGTTTTAAATGGATAATTTAAATATCATTGTAGCCTGTTTTGGCTAATCCTCCTTTCTAAACTTCCCCATTGCTTTCGCCTGGATTTCACACAGATCAATAGGCACGGTAAAATGCCTCATTCGGAACACACTTGTCTGCACAATTTGAAACAGGAGCTCCTGTGGGCTGAAAGCAACCATCAGTAATGCCCATGAAGATTTATCTGAACCTGTTTCCCAAGGGTCAGGAGAGCAGATCTGAGTAGCTGTGCTGCCAATACAGATAGGTTTAGCACTAGATATTAAGTGATTGTGGCAAGGAAGAATTGGTGATGATGGGGGTGGTGGGTGAAGGGAGGGCCAGGGACCCGAAGGCTCTTCAGTTGCCTTCTCCTGCTTCTTCATCCTGCTGGTCGCTTGTCCAGAGGGTGAGGTTGTCTCGCAGCAACTGCATGATGAGCGTGGAGTCCTTATAGGAATCCTCATTTAGTGTGTCCAGCTCAGCTATGGCATCATCAAAGGCTTGTTTGGCTAAGAGGCAGGCCTGCTCGGGCGCATTCTGAATCTCGTAGTAGAACACAGAGAAGTTGAGGGCCAGGCCCAGCCGGATGGGGTGCGTCGGCTGCATGTGCTCCTTGCTGATTTCAAAGGCTTCCTTGTAGGCCGCCTCAGAAGCTTCAACCACACTGTTTTTCTTCTCCCCGGAAGCTACCTCTGCCAAGTAGCGGTAGTAATCACCTTTCATTTTCAGGTAAAATACCTTGCTCTCATACTGGAAATCATTGCAGTTCTTGATGAGGAACTTGTCAAGCAGAGCCAGCACATCATTGCACACCGTTTCCAGCTCCTTCTCAATCTTCTCCCGGTAAGCTTTAACTTTCTCCAATTTCTTTTCATTTCCATCAGCCATGGTTTTTTGCTCAATGCTGATGATGACCCTCCAGGAAGATCGCCGGGCACCAACCACATTCTTGTAGGCCACAGAGAGGAGGTTTCGATCTTCGTTAGAAAGCGGTTCATTGAGTTCTGTCACCTGCAAAATCCCAAAAAGATAAACACTGAGATCCAAGTCCAAACATCTTGGAAAGAAATCAGTCTTTCAACCTAATCAACAATCCTCAGAACATGGGATTATGCAGAAACCACTGGAGAAAAACCAATCAGACATGGATCCTATTTCAAGGAAGACTATATATATAGTCTAACAGAAGGGATAAATACTTGAAATTCAAAATATTAAGTGATAAGAGCTCTGAGAAATTCATAATTCAGGCTTTATAAAATGTTGCCTTCAACTTGGTAGAGGTATGGGGATAAAGGTAATCACAGAAAGGTTGAGGTGACGCTTCATTACGGTGGGTGAAAAAGCCCCAAGATTCAGCTATTCTGCAAAAAATATTCTCAATGATAAGATCATGTGATTCCTTTGTAAAGTTATTCAAAGATTACAGACTAGACATCTGTTCCAGATTCTACTTCCAGCTTTAAAAGAACCAATCACACCTCCCTCAAATACATATTAATAGATAAGAGCTGCACAGATGACATCAACCCCACACAGATGGAGTGGCCAGAGTTTCAGCCTGTGTGGTTACAGATGGAATCCCACTGGTACACCCAGCCCTCTCCCAAGCCAAAATAGGTGCATTAGTGACAGTAAAGTGACCCCAGCCTCTGCTAAAAGGAAGTGTAACTACTCAACAGCAAGCTTTACTCTGACCTACCTGACAGGAAACCCTGACTGGCCATCAAGGATGGAAGCACCAATTATTTTATCTGGAAATGTTAAATTTCACAAGTTGTCACTTCCTTTGCTTAGCTCTCCATGATGCCACCTCCAAGCCAGCCAGCTATGTCACTGATAGAAACAGCAATGGACTTTGTTGTGTTGTTGAACTGTGTCTCCCCAAAATGTTATGTTGATCCTAACCCCTAGTACCTGCCATGTGACCTTATTTGGAAATAAGTCCTTGGCAGATATAATCAAGTTAAGATGAAGTCATACTGGATTAGGGCGGACCTTAAACCCAATGACTGGTGTCCTTATAAGGAAAGAGAGATTTAGAGACACACAGGGAGAACACCCAGTGGTGATGGGGGCAGAGACTGGAGTGAAGTGTCTACAAGCCAAGGAACCCGGGGAGCCACGAGAAGCTGGGAGAGAGGCAAGGAAGGATTCTTCCCTAGGGCCTTCAGAGGGCGCACAGCTCTGCTGACACCTTGATCTTAGACTTCAAGCCTTCCAAATGGGGATAAAACAAATTTCTGTTGTTTTAAGCCACTCCGTTTGGGGTACTTTTTTTGGTAGCCCTAGGAAAATACAGACTTGGAATCAGAAAACCTTGGTCTGGATCCCAGAAAAGCCAGTAACTTGCTAAATTAGCCTGTATCTTCTATAAAGTGGGGGATTGCTTAGTTATATGACCTACTGGTTGAGGTCATTATAAAAAAAAAAAAAGTACTTAGGAAACCATAAAACACTCCACAAAAAAAGGGTATTATTATAAATCAAACTATAAGGAAAGACCTTCCTCCAATGGAGGGGAAAAGCCAATTCAATGGAGAAAGTTGTTAATAACATATTAAAACAGATATGCTGAACATGAATTGAGAAGACTGAGCAATGGAGAATCAGAAATTTTAAAAACTAACGAAAAAGATGATAGGTTTGAAAAATTAGTAGTTCAAGAACATAAGCAACAAATGTAATCATTATGTGTAAAATTAGGAAACTTATGCCAAGTTCTTAAAAAGCAAAACAAGCGGGGCCGGCTGAGTGGCGCAATGGTTAAGAACTGGCTTGGGACGCCAGAGGGCCCCGGTTCGAATTCCACATATGAGGGCCAGTGACACTGCCCTCTAGAGCTAAGATGCTGAACAATAGCTCAGCCCGGCCATGAGTCGCCGGCGACAGCGTAGGCTGCAGCCCCTGTGGCAGTGGGTTGCCATGGTCTACCGTGTGTAGCCAGCAGCCAGCGTGAGCGGCCCTCAAGCCACCGTGAGCGGCCGTCCAGAAGCCGGGACTGATCTGCCTCGCCCGGGAAGAGCACAATGATGGTGTCAACTTGGGCCAGTGAAGCAACATCCTCCACAACTAGACTGAAGAACAAAACGACAGCAACTTGTCTGTTTCCCTTCCCCCAATTCCCCAGCACTGTTCCCATCCCCCCAATTCCCCAATAAAAATCTTAAAAAAGAAAAAAAAAAGAAAAACAAGCAATTGTCTACCACTACCCAACTCAACAAACCCGACAAAAATACGAGCTCCCACTTGTAATTTGCTCATTTCCCTGTCCCAAGTCCCCCTACTTTTTGCCACAAATTCTTAGCCTGAGATTAGTCTCCCCTCCTTTGCCTACTCAATCAATATAGCCCCACTTCTATCTTCAATGTGGTCTTTAGCTACAGGCTGTCCCTGCCCACTCCCCGGCAGGGCCTGTGTGCAAGCCAGGTTCTTCTTTCCTCCTCACATAGACACAAGTTGTCTCTCATGATCTGACTGTGACCTGCCAGTCTTCTACTAATCCACAATCCACACTTCCTTCGAATCTGGCTGAAGACCTGTAACCCCAGGAGTTTTCTCCTCCAGTGAGTCCCTTTAAACCAGCAGTTCTCAACCTGTGGGTCACAGCCCCTTTGGGGGTCGAACGACCCTTTCACAGGGGTCGCCTAAGACAATCAGAAAACACATATTTTCGATGGTCTTAGGAACCGAGACACCGCTCCTCTATCCATCTCCAGTCGGGTCCGCCCACATGCAGATACGCCCACATACAAGTACCCGGCATGATGACATCATCGCGCCAACCCCATCACATACACCCTGTACAAATACAGGTGACAGGGTTGGCACCATAATGTACTTATGCAGACCAGTCACACA